ATGCCTCAGCCTATGAAATGTTGTTCTACTGATGAAGTGATTTCAGAATAGGGTGGCTGTGGCCTCGCATTGCACTAAACCATAATGCAATTTATTTGTCTGTGGCTTAGCATATTGTGCAAACGCTGTCCTTTATGACTTAGCACAGTGTGTGAACCCAGCAATTGTGGTTTTGTCAGTAAACCATGGTGAAGCAAAGTATACTGAGCATGTCTTGACACGGTGCAAACAGAATATGCTTGGGGGGGGTGAGAAATGTCAGCTTGTTTGGAAAGGTCTATCACCCAGCTTGTCCTTGGAACCTAAGCAGGCCAGGGCTTGATAACTATTTGGAGAAGAAGCCATTAGGAAGCGCTAAATTGCTCTTGTGCGCAACATCATGATGCAAGTATGAAAGGATGGAGTTTACATTGCAACATCAGAATGCAGATTTCGTCCTTTATCACTGCTGTTAGGGTTAGGATGCCTGTGTAACTGGTGCCAAGAAACTGCCTGGATGTATTCATGTAGTCACCAGAGGTAAAGCTCATCTCAAAAGTATCTTTTCCTTTTTAACCAGCAGCACCCCAACCTGAACCTCAAACTGTGTCTCTTTAAAAACTGCCATGCCTCTCTTTATTTTTGTTTTTTGCCTAATGGAATATACTGAGGTCGGAACCAAGTTCAAAATAGATTTTATTTTCCCCAGACTAGACAAATCAATGGCCAGGGATGTCCATAGAAAACCTAAATGATGCCACAATTACATCACATGCGTGGTGACCAAACTTTGGATATACATATATATATAGCACCTTTGGTTGGATGGACAGTATTAGGATCTAAATACAATAAAACTGTAGTATCTCTGGAAACAATTATGTCAGTTAGAAAGCTATGGAATTAAATGTCTAATAAAAAAAAGATTCGATCCTTTTTCCCATGCTAAATTGACTTTATGAGGAAACCCAACATTAAAAATTGGGAAAAAGATGGTGATATGGGAAATTGGATGGAAGCGGGGTTATTGACTTTGGACCAATTGATAGATGATGAATTTTTAACATATGCTACATAATATTAACATATGCTACTTAATATTACGTTAAGTGATATTTAATATAAATATCATCTATCAGATGTAACTCAGTGGCAATATTTAGTTTGTTAACAGCATTATTTGAACCAGCAGCATTTTCAGCTTCTGAAACATCTGAGATACTGGAACAACTTGTTAAATCCTTTAAAACTAAAAACTATTCGTTTTTATAAGTATTTGTTATGAATAAATCAAGTTGATATGCATATGCTGAGAGATGAATGGAATAAAGAATTAGGAACCTCTTCCTATATTGCCTAGACAACAGGAGAATGTCTTAACTTCTAGAGTAAGAGTGTCAATGGACCTTAAACTATGACTTATACAACAAAACAAAATATTTAGAATTTATTTGACTACTACATTTGTATAGAAAAGGATGGTCTAAGACAGCATTTTGGTGGAGATGTAATAAGGACAATACTTCTTTAAAACACATGTTGTTATAATGTCCTATATTTACTAAGTTTTGGGAAAAAGTACTGGGCCATATAAATTGTGCAACAAAAGCTAATTTTTTCAGAGAATAATACTCTTTTGAATTACATACCTAGTACATGGAACTTGACAATTGGACAACGTAAACGGATTCTCCGTGCCCTCACTGTGGCTAAAAGACTCATATTGCAGCATTGAAAAGATAAATGTACGGCCCCATTTCTCAATGGATTGAAGATCTGATTGCACTTGCCACTTATGAATGGATTGCCTATAGATGTAGACTTTTTATGGACGAGTATAATGAAATATGGGACTTATTTATGTAAAATACAGCAGGTTTTTTAAAAAATGAAATTCATATAAATGTATTAGAAACATATACGTACTTGAATATTTACATTAGATAAGTATATGTAGAATTGTAACTGTTTACTGTTATAATGACAATGACATATCACACTACGTTTTTTTTTCCTTTGTCATACTTTTTAACTTTTTTGTAAGGCACTTTTAATGTTTTTTTCTTTGACGATATATGTATTTCCATCATTATTATCATTGTTTTGCTTTTTTCCTTTTTCTTTTCTTTTTGTTATTAATTAAAAAGCAATAAAAATAGATTAAAAAACATGTGTGGTGACCTCATCATGTAAATGGCACTGTTATGAACTTGCATCCTTTATAAGCATATAAATCACATCATATGTGTTACATCATCACTATGCCCCTTTCATCATTTGTCCCCCTTGGATGTCCTTACCCCCAACTATAGCCTGGTTCATATAACATATTAAGCTATTATAAAAATTGTTTCATTTCAGCTTAGTGTGTTCCATGAACTCAGCTATTACGATTGTAAACCATTATTATGATTTAGTATGTTGTACTGGTGTTTAACAATCCATGGTTAAGCAAATTATGGTTTAGCATGAGCTAAGTATGTAAACCTAATCTATATATTTATCCTAAACATCTGGAAATCTACATGTTTTAATAGATCCTAATCTAGTTGAATATCTTTTTCCCCACCCTATTTTACAACAGATCATGCAATTTTCATAAATTTAACATTAAGTCAACCTTTCCTCACCCACTCCCTGGTATTTTTCATCTCCTTTCCCTTCTCTCTCCCCGTCTGCTGGTTTGCAAGATCTTCCCCAAGAGATTTTCAGATCTCCTAATTTTAGTTGCGTATAATAAAAGTCATGCTTGCTTATGGGTTTAGATTTTTTTCTTTCTTTCTTATGAACCAGTCTGGCTTATTTTATTTATCTTCTAAGAAATGGTTGGGTGATTTTGACCCCGCCTCACACTCCATATGCAACAATTAATCATGCAAGTAGTTATAAAAAGATTTGGAGAAAAACAAAATGCTATGACAGTCATATTCTTCTGCTCATCTCTTATCAGTGGAAGAATGATAGATGGAAGATATGCGATATAATTAGGGTGAGGCTTTCCTTTCCTTCATGGAAATCATAACTTCAACCCACTAGGATAATGATCAGACACCCCTAGTCTATTTTTAATTTTAATTATGACTTTTGGTGTTAAAATCATGTCTGTTTCTGCACATTCTAATTCTATTTTGGCATCCTTTCAAATTCCTTCACATTCTCCATTCTCTCCCCAGTTATGACAGAGGTTCCTCTCTGTTTAATTTGCCACATCCTCCACGGAGCCAGGTCCCCTGGGAGTCTCCATCTTTAAATGGAAAATGGGAATCTGCTTTAGCTTGTACTTAACCCATTTAGTCAACTTCTGAAACTTCCAAGTTTGTCATACCTGAAGTAAGGATGTTTGTGCCCTAAACGGTTTCCTCTCTGCTGGACAGAGAATAATTATGTACAAATTCTGTCTTATGGATGTATTTTTTAAATTAATTTGGGGGATCAGAATCACGTAAGCAATGGTGTTCCCTGTGGCACTCTATGGAAGTGAAAGTTTGATTTCAATAAGCTGGATAGGAAGACTATTGACACTTTTGAACGTTGGTGTTGGAGAAGATTCCTGAGAATACCATGGACAGCCAAGGAAACAAACAAATGGATCATTGATCAAATCAACCCAGGCACAAATGACCAGGCTCCAACTATCCTACTTCATACAACATTAAGTGAAGACTTAGTTCTCTAGAGAAGACTCTAATGCTGGGAAAGGTAGAAGGAAAGAGAAGAAGAGGACGACCAGCAGCAAGGTGGATGGACTCAGTTACAGTGTCGATGGGTGCACCATTAGAAGACTTGAAAGACCAGGTCAGGGATAGATTGTCATGGAGGAAATCTATCTATGTGGCCACTAAGAGTTGACAACAAGTTGATGGGACATAATCAATCAATCAATCAATCAATCAATCAATCAATCATGTTAGGCAATGAGATAGTAGAAGGAAATGTGATTTGATTTACATAAAAAAATGCTCCACCACTTTTTAAATTCTTACTATTGATTTTGAATCCTAACCATTAGGTCCAGTTCCACCCTACTAGGCATTGCCCTTTCATTTACCACATTATGCTTTTTAGCTCCCAGACTCTGTTCTTTGTCACAGGCCAGGCAGTTTTACATAGCCATTGTTTTCTCTCTGGAAACTCATGTCTTCATCTTCAGATTCTTAATAATCCATGCATGGGAGATGGGAAGAGATACAGTCTCCGAGGGACTCTTGATCTGTATACTTATGCTGGGGAATGGGAGCAGGCCAAAGAAAGTGACCTCTGTGCTGTCTGGGCCTTTGGTGGCTTTCCTGAAACACAGTTAGTGGGAAGTTAAACAGATGAGGGCACTCTGCTGACCTTATCAGGGCTTGGAACAGAGATGGGCCTGGTTCCTACCTGGATGGGAGACTACCAGGTAATTCCAGGGCCGTATGCTATGCTGAGAAGTATAAAAGAACTCAGAAGGACAGGTCAAAGCATAACGACCAGCCCTGTAGCGTTGCCAAGAAAACTGCATGGCTGTCTCCCATTATCTTACTGGCTCAACTCCAAAAGAGACTTTACAATTAAAAAGCCGGATTGCAGGAAAGGAGGCTCTTCTTAGTGAGATTAAGATGGCTGGCCTTGGGGAGATTCACCCCAGGAGGCTGTTGCACACATGTCCTGCTTCTCTTGATTTCTGACAAGCTGAATGGATAAATGGATTCTGTGGAAAGTACAGTGCTGAGGTGAGGAGATCTACATTCCTAATGGCCCATTCACACATTCCAGGAGTCACTGGTACAATACTGGGCTTACGCGTACCAGGCGCTGGGTTCTGACCACCGCCGCAGACATGCCTGGGTTTCTTGCTTAGGTTTTACCCCCCTCCTTTCCCAGTTTAAGGCCGTTTTGCTCCTCCTCAGCCCCGCCTCTTCACGCCGCACTTTACAGGAGCTCCCCAGCGCCGATCGCTCGCTCGCTCGCTGGCTGGCTACCCGAAGCTCCGACTTGGGACGCTCCGCTGTGGATGCAGCCACCCGGGCAAGGAAGGTAAAAGTTGAGGCGGCGGGGGCTGGCAGGACCGGGCTGGCAGGTTCGCCCATCGCCAGGTCGATTTCCCTCGACGCTTTCTGCATCATCTCCGCCTCGAAGAAGCGGCGCGGGTTCCCTCGAGATCAGTTCGCAAAACATCCCGCGCCTGTCGCGCTCCAAGCGTCTGGGCGCACCGCCGGAGGCGCGCGGAGGTCCTTTGGCGTCTCCAAAGTCCTGGCTGCGCGTCAGCACCGAGATTTGGGGAGGGGGCGAGGAAAGAAGGGAGGGCTTCTTCATCGCAGGGCAACAGCCGGGGCCATTTTGGAGTAGTGGTAATGGACTCTGGATTTTCTTTGCCAAAGGCCCGATTTAATTGAGAGGGGGAAATGGGAGTGTTGCTATGGATTCGCCCGCCCAGGGCCCTTGATTGGCATCGTCAAGCCGCACCAGGAGTTTGCTGGTATCGAAGGGGATGCAGAGTCGGGAGCAGGGGGCTGTAAGGAAGGTGGGTTAATTTGGGGCTGAGCGAAGAGAAAAGAGGAGGCAGACTAGGCATTAGTTAAGGACTAACTCTGAGGCAGCAGGTTGAGGGGGAAGCGGAATGGATTTGAAGGGGAAGGTAGGAGGTGTGTTGATGCTAAGCGTGAGGCATGAATTAACAAAGTCCTCTGTAGGGCTTGAAGAAGAGGCTGGACTAAGACATTTTGGTGCACCCTAGAGACTCACAGGTATGCTCCAAGACCCCTTGGTACGTCCCAGATGATGTTGAAAAATAACTTTGACTCCAGTCAGTTTCACTAGGATCTGCAAAACTGCCCTCTCCCCCCCCTCCCCATTGCTTGCTTTTGAGTTTTAGATTGACATCCTGGAATGCCAGGCATGTGCAGTGGGGAAGCGATAGCTTGGAAAAGGGGAAACAGTCAGAAGTCCCCTAATTTGATTTATTCACTGTCTTTTTATGCTACACCTTTTCATTTATATAGAGCAACGTTACAATGCTTTCAGAAAAAAAAGAAACAACTGGTGGTATATTTTGACTGTTTTGCTTCATTTGGAAGTTACTAATGGCAACTAAATCTATATCCATCAATGAATGGTTATTTATATGTGATAAATTGTGAAGGCATTGTCAATACAGGGCATAGCAAATGACGAATTACATATCACTAAGCCAAAATCTAACAAGCATTGTTGGGACCCAACATAATGTGTAAATGTAGCCATTCAGTGGTGGAATGTTGGTAACAAATCAAGGGTCGTGTTTTGGAGAAAGTCACAGTTCTGCTAGGAACTGTGTTCCTTTTCACCTCTTTTGAGCATAGTAGTAACCATGCATCAGAGAGAAATGGATCCCAGTCAAGTGACTGATTGCCAATAGATTGGGAGTAGCAGGTTCATGCAGAAATACACTTCTGAGATTTTATGGTGCTATAAAGATTTGCGTACAGTAGTATATTTTCCTTGGTGTTTAGATTACTTCTATACATTAATGTATAACAACATTTTACAACCACCCCCCATATAGTAGCCCAGTACTGTATTAACTACCGATTAGAACTAACCAAAATATGTTGTGAGTTATGAAAGGGGATGTGGAAATGGGTCACAGTTTATTTAGTACAGTATATGGATGATTTAAGAATAATGGGGAATGGGATGCAGCAGCCTTTCCCAACCTGATGCCTTCAAGATGTGCTGGATGACAACTCCCTGAGTATACATCATAGGGACACATCCAACACATCTGGAAGGCATCAGGCTGGGGAAGGCTGAAATACAGTGCAGAGTCTGTGTAAAATAAACCTAAACCAGTTTAAGATTAGTGGGGCAGGAGAAGGACAGGAGCGGGATGTAAGAATGGAAGTATAATTGAAAGCATGCTATCGATTATAGAAACTGATGGTTGGATTAGGACATGGCAGAACTTCCATGCAAGTAAAAAAATGTGGAAGTGTTAGAATGTCAGGTTCTTGGGCCTTTAGGATTTCACGTCCTGATCCTGCTATCTCTCGTATAGAGTAAGTAATACCTGAGAAGTTTGTTGACAGGGTCACGACTGGGTTGGTTCACATGTTGTGCTAAGCTGTCTGGGTTTGATTTATTGCAAGATATGCACCCTGATGATTGTGGCTCATTCAAGAGACCAACAATCATGGCATAGCTTAGCACAGTAGGGGAACCCTGTCAATGGTAGGGAAATGAGTAATGCTAAAGTTTAATGTTTTTGTGCAAAGGAAGAAAGGGGGTGGAGAAAGAGACCTTAAGTGTCTGCCTCCATTGGATTCTTCCCTTTCACCACAAGACATCTATCACAACACAACCCTCTGAGAATAACTCAAATAGGAGTACCTATTTCAACAATTCTGCCCTCTCTAGGTCCATCTGTCACCAGCTATTCTGTTGGAATGATCGTGATACCTTGTTGTATATTGATGTTGTTCCTTCAAGGGGAGATTCAAAAATACGTTTTTTTACTTCTCAGTCACCTGGAAAGAATTTGTATCTAGAAAGGTAGGATATAAATATCTGTAATTCGTAAATACATATTGTATTGGGGTGGTAGGTGCTGACAGGTACAGGCAGATGGACCAGCTTTCTAGAGATGTTTCTGGTTCCTGGAATGGAACCAGAAAACGTGCCTGCAGATTACAATGATTAAAAATAAAATCAGCTTCACCCTCCTTGCATTCCTCTGTATGAAATACCTTGGCAGGGAGCCAGTTGTAGTTATGTGAGATTTCCACAATAAGGCATTTATTTTTTTTTCCTGCCCAGTTCTCTCTGTTAAAAAGAGTAGAGATTCAGCAATAGATGAACCATTGTTTAGATCAACCTTCCCCAACTTGCTGTTCTTCAGAGGCACTCCCATAATTATGGTAGTTGAATAAAACCCACCTGGAGTGCACCAGACTGGGAAAGTCTGGTTTATAGGGTTCCATTTATTTTTGGCAAAGAAGAGGAGGGGTGTGGGTGTAAGATATGAATAACAAATTATTTTGGGAGAAGGAAGACAGTTGATCAGTCAGTTATTGATTGATTCAGATTGAAGGGCTAAATAAAAAATTGATGTTCAGCCTGGTAAGGCACAGTTTTAAAAAGAGCAAAGGAAATGGTTTGTTTCATTGTGAAATTTAATCTCCGGGGACTTCAGTCTTAAAGGAGTCGAAGCAACATGCACAGGTTTATTGTGAGTGATGCAAAATTGGCCTCTGTGATTGAGACTGAGAGGACTATGTAAACATTTATATTGGCAATAGCACAATGGGTAGGTAATTATATGGCATTACATTGTTCTGTCCTCAGGACAAGCAAGTGAAGTTTTATGCCAACCTCCAGCCATTATTTTTTAAATGCCTGGTTGGCAAACTATTTCTATATTGTTGCCAAGACAACAACATGGATATGACCATTGGGTTCTTGGTGTTCTCTGAGCTTGGTTGCTTTTCTGCAGACATTTTGTTCCAGGCCAGGTAACTTCCTCAGTGCATGCCAACAGTCCAACCCTAAGCTACATAAATTTTCTACAGTACTATTGGATGTGTCCATGTGGTCACCAGAAATCAAGCCCTTTATTATCTTTTCTGCAGGAAAGTCAGGTTTCCAGCCCTAATTAATTTTATTTTTTTTGTTGCGAGGCCGAATTAATTTTTGTTCCCTCTTTCTTTCTTAAAGGTATATTTGCTATCCCTCTTTCCTCCACCCCTGCCCCCCAGGAAAGGTTCATTTGACTCAGCTACCCACTTTGAATTAAATCATATTATATTTCAGGAAACTTGGAAGAGGTTCACTCCGACAACATTACAAGTGGAGAGGGAGGCATTGAACTGATCTTTGATTGTGTTTTGTTTTCAAAATATTCGTAGTCTTTCATCACTTAAGGCTTTAAAATCAAGAGACAAATTCCATGCGTGAATGAGCCATTACAGAAGAAATGCCATCTTTCATGGAATAGTCAATTGCTTCAGACATCACTAATTTTTAAACACTACCTTTGGGCGTAAGTAAATTCCTGTACTAAAAAGCTCGTGGAAGCAGAGTCATAGTTCCTATATAGTTATTTTGAAAGATGTTGCCATCCACCTGACATAGACTATATCAGTTTCTGGGAATTGTTCTCCAAACTTACTAAATTTCTCTTTTGCCTTCAGTCAGGTGTTTGAAGTTATTTCCAGGAAGCAAGTAGCTGTGTGAAGGATTTTGGATCTCCAACTATTACCCTGGCTCAGGTAGAGATTTTGTTATAATAGAAAAGATACCTGGGAATCTAGGATCCTGTAGCAAATGTGTGACTGTGTGTGGACAATGAGGAGGCCCCAGAACAGACCTCCACTGAGCATAAAACTCCCAAGCTGAGTTTGAGCCAGTGACTGATTGGGTTCCCCTCTTATCTTCAAACCAGAATGAAGCACACCACAGGAACATGATGTGCGAGGTTGGCCATTGTCTAAACTATCCCACACAGTGGTGGAGAAGTTAAAATGGAAATTGTGTATGTGTGAACTATGCCCACTGTGTTGAGCTCAATGAAGGAATGGTGTAAAAAACAATAAATAAAGCAGAACTCTCTAAAGATTTTTTGGAGAGGTCTGCTATAAAGCTTAACTTGTTCTACGGCTCTTTATGTAATGTAGTTTTAAAGACCAGTCTCTGGGCATTTGCAAAATGCCTTCTTCTCATCCTCTCCTGCCTCAGATTAACTGTATTCTGCTGCCATATTCAGGGATCTTGAAATCTGAGGGTATGGACCAAACCCAGATTTAAACCACTCTCTTTGGGGGGGGGGGAGATTCTGCAGATGATGTTGGCCTCCATGTATTAGCCTCAGCAGTATGTGAATTGCCTAGAATTGATGGGAATTATAGTCTAAGAACAAATGGAAGGCCCCAGATTTTCCAATCCCTATTTTAGTAACTCAACAGTAGTTGTAGGAATTGGGGAATGGGTGTCCTGTTAGGGAATTACAGCAGCTTCTCTGTTCAGAAGGAAGCATAGGCCTCTTTGTTTCAGGCCTTCAGTTCTGTCGTTGCTGCTGTTTCAATGAAAGGTTGTCCCAGGCATTTTCCTCTCCCATATGTGCAGTTCTGATCTTAAAAAATGTTAGATCAACAGTTATGAAAGGCAGCCTTTTAGGATTTCCTGAAAGAGGCACCTGTGGTAGCTGAGGAGTCTTGTTGAAAGGAGACCTTCATTTGGAGTTGACTTGGAAGGAAATCTAGACCAGAAGTTTGTAAAATGGGGAAAGTGGGGGGGATGTGTGATCCATAGGCCTAGTTATAGCTTCCATCCTGTCCTCTAGGTTGGAAATATCCATCTCACTCGGGGAGGGAGGACGATGAATGAAAGTAACCACCACCAGCGAGCAAGTGTAGGTAGGGGTCGTCGTGGAGCTGGAGCAAAGCAAGGTGTGTATGTTGGCTGGGAATGAGGTGGATTGCCCTGGGCCTGAGGCAAAGAGGGTTCATCCATAGTCCTCTTAATCATACAGTAATGGTTTAGAGGCAGACACAAGTTAGCTAGCTTTGCATTTTACTGAAATCAAGATGAAAATCCGAATCCAACCCACTGATTGTGTTCACATGTTACACTAAATCAAATCAAACAAATCCATTTATGGCTTCTGCATAGCCTCATTAGATAATTGTGAAGCTCCTAATAAGAATATTGACTGCACTCACACATCATGATGAGCCATGATTGGCTTAATCATAGTTTGGGTAAACTACAGTTGGCTGAGTTCCCATCATACTAACCCCTTAACCATAATTTACAAGCTACATGTGGGAATCAGCCTCTCTGGCTTGCAAACCATGCTTTATCACTTAGTATAATGAAGGAACCTGGACAAAAGTTGTTTGTTAAGAAATGAGCATCTATATGGGAAATACAGATTTCATACCATATGAAATCATATGACCAGTTCATATGTGTTGCAAGGAACATTCAAAAGATTTCTGATCAGGAGAATTTCTAAACTTAAAGATTCTAAAAATAGCATCTGTATAATGACAATTCTTCACTTTTGTGGTAAAATCTCATATCACCATCATACATATAGAGTTATAAATCGGGATATACTGTAGAGGAAATGATAAAGTACCACCACTTCCATATAATTTGCTTATATTATCAGAATTCTTGAAATATTAACATAAACCTCAGGTATCCTATTCATACATGCTGTACAGATATGTTACTCACATGCTGTATATCTTATTTATTTATTTGATTGATTGGTTGATTGATTGATATGGCTGCCCATCTTAAACAACTCTGGGCAGCTGACAACAATGGTAAAACCATTAATTATAAAGCAACCTTAAAACAATGAAACAAAATGTAAAATGATCAAACACAAAAACCCCGCACCTTAATCATCCCCTTAGAATGCCCTGCAGCAAGCTCCAATTACCCTAATTCCATTCTTTCTATTTTATTCTATCCTATCCCAGTGCCTCAGTAAAAAGCCATGTCTTGATGGCCTTCCGAAAGGCTAAAAGAATGAAGGCCTGCCGAATTGCTGGGGGGAGGGTGTTCCATAAGGTAGGGACAGCCATGGAAAAGGCACGGTTCCAAGGTCCCACTAGGCGGCAGGATTTCAGGGAAGGGAACTGGAGCTTGCCTACTGTCAGGTTCAGCCCAAAGAACTCCACGAGACAGTACAGGTAGCTTTTATTAGCTTTCAACCACAAGACAGAATCTCGCCAGACTGAATCTAAACTTC